TTAATAAGATGAGAGGCTGCTGCTGCAGTGCTGGGTTTACTAGTGCAAAGACCGAACTGGTGTTGCTTTTATGGTAACTGATGCTCTATCCCTGGATGTTGCTGAGATGCAGAATAGCAGAGGGGGAGCCGTGTTAGTCTGAATCTGCAAAAGCGGCGCGGAGTCCTGTGGCACCTTAGAGACTAACCGAAGTGCTGGAGCATCTGAGATGAGAGGCTGCTGCTGCAGTGCTGGGTTTACTAGTGCAAAGACCGAACTGGTGTTGCTTTTATGGTAACTGATGCTCTATCCCTGGATGTTGCTGAGATGCAGAATAGCAGAGGGGGAGCCGTGTTAGTCTGAATCTGCAAAAGCGGCGCGGAGTCCTGTGGCACCTTAGAGACTAACCGAAGTGCTGGAGCATCTGACGAAGTGGGTCTTTGCCCACGAAAGCTTATGCGCCAACACTTCGGATAGTCTCTATAAGGTGCCACAGGATTCCTGAGAGGCAGAAGCTTTTCTATTTACCATGAGGAGTCTCTGCTGATGTTAAGGCTCCGTCCAGCACTGTCATAGTATTTATCAATACTCAGGTTTCCATCCGCATCATGGGCAGAATTGAAGTTTGTAATCAAACGTGTTGGAATTCCCAAACATCTCAGGACTGAAACACAAAAATATACAGCAATGCTCCAGCAGTCCTATTGCAAATGTTTAAACATTTCTCAGCCACTCCAGACTGACCAGTTTGACTAGCTGCCACTTGAACACTGTTTCCTAGCCTAGAATGAGCCATTTGGTGTTTTGTAGGGTATTTCTGCACTGGAGCTAGAAGGTGTGAATGGCAGCTCGCAGCATACCCGTGCTCTGATCAAATGTGCCAAAAGACGTGTAGATGAGATGGTGTCAGGAGCTACGTGCCTGAAGTACGTACCTTGAGTCCTTGAGTCTCAGATGGGATTGTACTGAAGGTGGCTAGCCCCTTCCTGATGCTTGCACGGCCAGGGCTCACCTATTTTTAACACACTCACTTGACCAGAGCTGGCACGTTAACTCCAGCTTACAATGTACACAGATCCTTGTGCAGTGGTGGAGGCCACAGATTCCATGTCAATAGAATTAGTTGATGTAAGCTGTACCTGTGCACATCACGCCTGCGAAAACCCAGCACTGGCCATACTGGACAGGCTTGTAATTCTCTTGACACCACTTGCGGAGGATCACCACACTCCCATTCCATCTGGATGGGTTTTCATGCTCAGCGAAATGGTCATTCCAGCTTCCCTCCAACACTCCATTATCATTGTCATTCCCGTTGATCTAAAATACGAGAGAGACAGAATTAACAAAAGGAGGAGTCACAGCCACATTGTTCAGACCCAGAGGGTCCTGTTGGACTTCGCTAAGTTCCACTTTGCAGCTAATGCTTTTTGGTGGTTGATGTATTTGAAAGCAAGAGAAAATAACCCATTCTTTACCATGGAACTGATCACCCGACCCACGTATTTAGGGTCTCCTCGGCGGGACACATCAGTGCCTGGGTTCTGATTATAGTACAGGCTCATATCCAGCAGGGTAAGACAGATATTTATAATGTCAGCTTGAAACTGTAACGAGAAGAGACAAAGTCTTGTAAAAGAAATAATTCTTCAAACCACTCAACATTTTAAATGTTGAGCAACTTCCTCTTTCTGAAAAATGCCAACACAAAGATGTATTGGGACTATACATCCACAAAACCATCTGAGTTGCTGGCTGAGTAAGAGGATACAAACTGCAGTAGTTTGGTATAATCAAAATAAGCCACATATGTCCTTGTAACTAATAGAGTGACGCTAGGGATGAGCTGGTACAGAGAACTGCGTTGATTCAAAGGAAATTTAAACAAGGCTGGCACTGTTTAGATTTGTATTATGGCAAATCCTAACAGCTCTAGATCTGGATCACTACCTAAACATGTAACATAGAGAATGTCCTTGCCTCAAAGACCTTACAAACTAAGGAGATAAGTTGATAAGTGAAAGTAACAAAATGTTAGGAAGACCAATCGCTTCTTGCAAGCACCTTTGTGGTTTTCTGTAGGGAGGGCTACGTTATTGTTCTAAGAAGGCTACTCATAGTTCTAAACTTTGCAATGAATGCCAGGGTAATCCCCCAGCACACTGGCTTCCTCTGCATCAGCTGATGTCCACTCCATCCCTTTTTCATCCTGCTGGCGTGAGTGAAGGAGGGAGGGATGCAGTCAGCAAAGAATGGATGTCTTAAGGAGATTTGGGTAAATGAACTACTCTGTTTGCTGCTGAGGTTTTTACCTCTTTTTCAGGCATCGTTTCTGCCTGGTCATGATGCTGAGCAGACTCATTAATGCTGGGTTGGGGCTCCTTTGGCCTCCTTAATAGCTACCCTGAACAGAATTGTTGTATGAAAAATCATGGTCAAAACAACTATCCTTGGAGACAAAAAACTCCAAACCTCTAAATAAACATGCTAACTCCCCTCATGCATGCCCCAAAGAGTCAAATGTGCATAAGAGTACATGAGATCAAAGGTGGGGTAAGACCTGGGTTCTCAAATGAATTGCCTATAGCTTTTAAACCTGCAGAACTACTCTGTGTTATGTAACCTATCCCTTGAATCTGCTTCTGTACTGCATGATTGGATTATAGCTGATGGGGGGCACTGACCCCATGACCTCCCCTCCACCCCAGGGAAGGGTCGAGACGACTGCCTCTGCCCCAGCAGCCACCTCTCTCCACCCCTGCTTCGCCCTTCCCCTCTCCTCTCCTCTCCTCTCCTCTTCCCCATCCTTGTTCCACCCCTGCCTCTTCCCCGAGTGATGTGACCCAGGAGACTAGCTGTGGGGGAGTGATCTTGCATCCCGCAGTCTCTGGCAGCGACAGGGGAAGTGGAGCAGTGGGGTCCCTTTCTCTGCTCCTACAGCTGCATCATTCCACTTCCTGCTGGTGAGTGTGGGTACAGTCCCTCCCTTCCCCCGCGCAGTGCACCCAAGTGAACTAGGGCTATGTTGCTGCGGTTGCCCTGCCCTGCCAGTGAGTGTGTGGGGGGGACCACACCTCCCTTCCCGAGGCTCTGGTCCTGCCGGCTGCTGGTTGGTCCCTTGCCTGGCTTGCCTGTGGTGTTGGGAAGGACATGTGCCCTTCATGTTCCCCACACATTGCCTAGGGTAGCTAATGCCATTCCAGTTTGTAAAAAAGGCTCCAAAGGAGATCCTGCAGCTGATACAAAAATACTCAAAATAGTTAAATCCAAAGGAGACTGTAAAGGGATCTCTCAAAATTAGGTGACTGGGCAACAAAATGGCAGATGAAATTCAATGTTGATAGTTGCAAAGCAAGGTATATTGGGAACCATAATACAAACTGACGGGATCTAAATTAGCTATTATGACCCAACAAAGAGATTTTGGAGCTCTCTGAAAATGTCGGGGTGGTCAAAGAAGCCAGCACCTGTAGGAAGGGGATAAGCAATAAAACAGCAAATACAGTAAAGCTACTGTATGAATCAATGTTATGCTTGCACAGTTAAGACTGCATGCAGTTCTTGTTGCCCCATCTCCAAAAAGATAAATTAGAACCGGAAAAGAGAAGGACACAAACGTAAGGGCAGGGAACAGCTTCCATATGAGGAGAGATTGAGAAGACCGGGACTCTTCAGTTTAGAAGAGAGATGATGGGGAGAAATAGGATGGTCTATAAAATCCTGACTATGTGGAGACCAAATACAAAGAAGTCCTGTTTACCCCCCTTAACATAACACAAGCACTAGCTGTTGCCCGATGAAATTAATAGGCAGCGGGTTTAAAGCGAAGGAAAGGAAGTATTTCTTCACACAATACACAGTCAGCATTTGGAACTCATTCCCACGTGGGGTGTGAAGGCTAAAAGTGTAACAGAGTTCAGAACAGAATTAGGGCCATTTGGCACGATGGTCAGGGATGCAACTTCATGCTTAGTTTGGCATTCCTAAGCTTCTGACTGCCAGGTGCTGGGACTGGACACACACGATCGGATTTCTTAAAGATTGTCCTATTCTGTTCGTTCCCTTCGATGCATCAGACATTGGCTGCTGTCAGATGAGAGGACACTGGGCTAAATGGGCTATTGTTCTGACCCAATGTGGCTGTTCTTAGGCTCTTACCTGCCCATAGTACCATCCTCTAGCTTCAATATGGTTTGCATTTCCAATAAAGATCAGTCCATTTTCATCCAGAACGTATTCCTGTCGTGCATCTTCATTCGCTACGTAGACATCATCACCTGAAAGCTCAAAGTTAGATGTGCTGTTGCACCTATAATCGAGGACGCTGTAAGAGGATTCCTTTTATCTTATTGAGTCATCAGATGAACACGTTCAATTAATTTATGAATGAATGATTATACAGCAGAGATTTATCATCACTCCCTACAAAAAGGGTTAATATTTTACCCAGTACAGTGAGAGAGGTTGCAGCTCATTTATGTTCCAACTTTCTCTCGATCCTGGAGTTTCAATCTTGCTTGTTTACAATGTTTTCTTGCCCCTTATATTTTACAGTTGATTACATATTTGCATTATCCAGTCATATGTTAATGTCACATTTGTGATTATTTCCTGTAAACCTGCAAGATACGTGTTCCTTCCCTTCCCTCACTGTCCCTGTCTTCCTTACCCTCCTGGTGCCTCCCCCCTTCCCTCACTGTCCCTGCCTTCCTTACCCTCCTGGTGCCTCCCCCCTTCCCTCACTGTCCCTGCCTTCCTTACCCTCCTGGTGCCTCCCCCCTTCCCTCACTGTCCCTGCCTTCCTTACCCTCCTGGTGCCTCCCCCCTTCCCTCACTGTCCCTGCCTTCCTTACCCTCCTGGTGCCTCCCCCCTTCCCTCACTGTCCCTGCCTTCCTTACCCTCCTGGTGCCTCCCCCCTTCCCTCACTGTCCCTGCCTTCCTTACCCTCCTGGTGCCTCCCCCCTTCCCTCACTGTCCCTGCCTTCCTTACCCTCCTGGTGCCTCCCCCCTTCCCTCACTGTCCCTGCCTTCCTTACCCTCCTGGTGCCTCCCCCCTTCCCTCACTGTCCCTGCCTTCCTTACCCTCCTGGTGCCTCCCCCCTTCCCTCACTGTCCCTGCCTTCCTTACCCTCCTGGTGCCTCCCCCCTTCCCTCACTGTCCCTGCCTTCCTTACCCTCCTGGTGCCTCCCCCCTTCCCTCACTGTCCCTGCCTTCCTTACCCTCCTGGTGCCTCCCCCCTTCCCTCACTGTCCCTGCCTTCCTTACCCTCCTGGTGCCTCCCCCTTCCCTCACTGTCCCTG